TTCAGAATTCTGCAGCATTAATAATGCCTCTGCTGCCTGAACTTTATCATGATTAATATCAGTAGGATGATCCTCAGTAGATGTTGCACTAGCAGCTTCTGTCTCAGCAATGTCTATACTCCCTAAATCACTCTTCTTGCGTTTGGGTTCTGGGGACCATGTCAGATTTTTTAGCACTAGAGGCCTCTTCCTGCTTCTGACAAATTTTTCAAGCTAAAAACAAATATATCAATAAGGATATACATTTTCTAGATTTTTTAATAATATGGCATAATAGTATTATGATATCAAATGAATAAAAATTTTTGACACTATAAACCCACTACTGTATTTATTTACTTTTATTTACTTTTGATATTGGGAATTTTACAAGACAATGTTGATTCTATGAGGCAGACATTAAATGCATGCACACACATTTTTTGGAATTAGAATTTACAATGTTACTTGTATTGTCAACAACTCTGTCAAGAGCGATTTGTGTTTAAATTTGATAAAATTCTACACTTTACATAACAGTGATATGTCATTTTAATATAAGCCTAGCACATATTTCAATCCTTATATTATATGACAGATTAAAGACTTATCTACTTTAGTATTTGACTTTACATGTATGTATGTATGTATGTAAGTATTGTAACATGGTTGTATATGCCAACTATTGAACTAGGCCTAATCCGAGATTCCTCTGACTCTAATCCCCGCTTTTAAATTATGACTTGTGAGGTGGATAATTGAATTATTGTAGTACAAGGTTCACAAAAATTGTAAGTAAATTTGCATCTATCTACCCTTTATCTTGGTGTGATATTTTAGACACAATACCATAATGATAAACATTGACTGTCGGCGTTATAAAAAAGTTTTCACATATAAGCCAGATCAGCTGTGTTTAGGCCTACCTCATATTTGGTAGCTGTTGCCGGAATTGGGTCAGGATATTCTTCCGTGGGGCCTCTACCCCCCTTAAAATGCAAACTACATATATATGTGTCCTTCTTTACCGACAAAGCAGTAAAGTTCTCTCGTCGACATGCATTGGCCCATCGAGTACACTTCTCCGGTTCACGATGAAATTGTGGAAAGCGAATAAAGAAAACGCCTTCCATATCTTGTCTATCCATATATCTAGAGTCACTTTTACAAAGACCATAAGCACAATGCTTAGTTGCACCTCTGCGTTCGTGTTTTTCGTTAATATCTACTGCTGACACATTGTCCGCCTCAGACACCTCCATTGTTATTGTCCGAAAGTATGGCGTCGCGCGCAATGCATTTTGGGATAGGGTTATATTTAGCACACTCGGGAGTTATCGATCGGTGCTATTTGAAATCAGACCAAAACTGTAGGAGGAGTAGCATTTTGAAAGAATTTCACAGAAATTTCTATTTTTAATAACCACGACAACACAGTTCATCGAAATCAAAAACCGATATACAGAATTATGTATCTTAGTATAGTCTACTTGTGTGCCAAGTTATATTAAAATCAGACCAAAACTGTAGGAGGAGTAGCATTTTGAAAGAATTTCACAGAAATTTCTATTTTTAGTAACCACGGCAACACCGTTCAACGAAATCAAAAACCGATATACAGAATCATGTATCTTAGTGTAGTCTACTTGTGTGCCAAGTTATATTAAAATCAGACCAAAACTGTAGGAGGAGTAGCATTTTGAAAGAATTTCACAGAAATTTCTATTTTTAGTAACCACGGCAACACCGTTCAACGAAATCAAAAACCGATATACAGAATCATGTATCTTAGTGTAGTCTACTTGTGTGCCAAGTTATATTAAAATCAGACCAAAACTGTAGGAGGAGTAGCATTTTGAAAGAATTTCATAGAAATTTCTATTTTTAGTAACCACGGCAACACCGTTCATCGAAATCAAAAACCGATACACAGAATTATGTATCTTAGTGTAGTCTACTTGTGTGCCAAGTTATATTAAAATCAGACCAAAACTGTAGGAGAAGTAGCATTTTGAAAGAATTTCACAGAAATTTCTATTTTTAGTAACCACGGCAACACCGTTCATCGAAATCAAAAACCGATACACAGAATTATGTATCTTAGTGCAGTCTACTTGTGTGCCAAGTTATATTAAAATCAGACCAAAACTGTAGGAGGAGTAGCATTTTGAAAAATTGTTTACAGACGGACAGACAGACAGACGACGGACGCATTACTATCGCATAAGCTCTTCTGGTCTCTGACCAGTAGAGCTAAAAAAAAAAATGCCTCCAGTGTTTCAGAAAAAGGTAATGTGTGTGTGTATGTATCAGGACTATTTTTTAAGTGATTTCACATTTAATTCCATGAAAATACTTTACATAATTCAAGTCGTGTTGTAAGGGAGTAAGAAAGTGGAAAGTGACTATGACGTCATAATGAAGCTGGTCTAATTGCCTGAGGTTTATCGTACGAGTTATTTTTCGCACACGACGACTTAGAAATGGTAAGTCATACACAGGATTTTCCAAACAAAGTTCACAACCATCATTAATATTATATACGTAAACATAGGTAATCAAAGATTACGAAGCTCACCTCGACGAATGTTATCAGTTTTAAGTAATGCAAATCCTACATCATATTTTCTTAATATTAAGTATTCATCCTAACAACAATATTCTTGCAAGTTGTGCTTTACCCTCTACATGGCATATACACATTTCTATGCATTTAGTGTGAAAAACATGTTTTGTGTAAACAAATATTCATAACTGTTAAAATTGCAGATATCAAAGACTTCAATTTCATTGGATTGATCTGTTCCCAAAACTTTAACCTGGTCTCTTGTATGGAAAATATAGGTCAGATCCAGCATCCCAAGCAAGTCTGATAGTGTCCATCCTAAGATGCATCATCCATGCAAGTTTGGTTTAGGTAGGGCTTATAGTTACTTGGAAATGAAAATGTAGGTCAGATCCAGCATCCGAAGCAAGTCTGGTAGTGTCCATCCCTAGATGCATCATCCATGCAAGTTTGGTTTAGCCAGGGCTTACAGTTACTTGGGAATGAAAAATGTAGGTCAGATCCAGCATCTGAAGCAAGTCTGGTAGTGTCCATCCTAAGATACATCATCCATGCAAGTTTGCTTCAGGTAGGGCTTATAGTTACTTGGGAATGAAAATGTATGTCAGATCCAGCATCTGAAGCAAGTCTGGTAGTGTCCATCCCTAGATACATCATCCATGCAAGTTTGGTTTAGCTAGGGCTCATAGTTACTTGGGAATGAAAATGTAGGTCAGATCCAGCATCCGAAGCAAGTCTGGTAGTGTCCATCCCTAGATGCATCATCCATGCAAGTTTGGTTTAGGTAGGGCTTATAGTTACTTGGAAATGAAAATGTAGGTCAGATCCAGCATCCGAAGCAAGTCTGGTAGTGTCCATCCCTAGATGCATCATCCATGCAAGTTTGGTTCAGGTAGGGCTTATAGTTACTTGGGAATGAAAATGTAGGTCAGATCCAGCATCTGAAGCAAGTCTGGTAGTGTCCATCCCTAGATGCATCATCCAAGCAAGTTTGGTCCAAATAGAGCTCATAGTTACTTGGGAATGAAAATGTAGGTCAGATCCAGCATCCGAAGCAAGTCTGGTAGTGTCCATCCCTAGATACATCATCCATGCAAGTTTGGTCCAAATAGAGCTCATAGTTACTTGGGAATGAAAATGTAGGTCAGATCCAGCATCTGAAACTAGTCTGGTAGTGTACATCCCTAGATACATCTTCCATGCAAGTTTGCTTGAGGTAGGGCTTATAGTTAATTGGGAATGAAAATGTAGGTCAGATCCAGCATCTGAAGCAAGTCTGGTAGTGTCCATCCCTAGATGCATCATCCATGCAAGTTTGGTCCAAATAGGGCTTATAGTTCCTGTGGAATGGACCTGCTCCAAAAACTTTATCCTGGTCACTCATCTAGAAAATGTAGGTCAGATCCAGCATCCGAAGCAAGTCTGGTAGTGTACATCCCTAGATGCATCATCCATGCAAGTTTGGTTCAGGTAGGGCTTATAGTTCCTTGGGAATGGACCTGCTCCAAAAACTTTAACCTGCTCCAAAAACTTTAACCTGGTCACTCATCTAGAAAATGTAGGTCAGATCCAGCATCCGAAGCAAGTCTGGTAGTGTACATCCCTAGATGCATCATCCATGCAAGTTTGGTTCAGATAGGGCTTATAGTTACTTGGGAATGAACTTGCTCCTAAAACTTTAACCTGGGACGCCAACGCCGGGGGTATAGCATAAGCTCATCTCGACTTTGTCGAGGTGAGCTAAAAAACTGTTTATGTTCCGAGCTATTTTCCGAACTCAAGGACATAGAAATGTTGTCATACACAGGATTTCCCATTCGAAGTCCACAAGCATTATTATATGAAAGATATAAATGACATGTTGTTTATGGCCTCATTAAGATAAAGTTATCAGGACAACTTTTCACTTGATTTCAGATTTAATTCCATGAAAATAACTGAGTGACCATAACGTCATAATGACGACACTTTGCGTGAGGTTTATCGTACGAGTTAATTTTCGCACACAACGACTTAGAAATGTTAAGTCATGCACAGAATTTTCCATACAAAGTCCACAACCGTTATTAGCCTGGTACCTCGTGGATTCGTGGTACTTATCGATTCGTAATCAAATAAAATTGATTTACAAAACTTTCAGCTTAAGTTTATTGTGATTAAAAAATAGGAGGGTCTAATCTCTTCTTTATTAAAAAAAAAAAAAAATGGTGTAATTTTATCACTTATCCGTGTCAAAATTCACCTTAAAATGTATGGTATTTATACCATTGTAAAAAAGTCAAGCGTCTCATTGATTCATGTTACATCTTCAAAATCTGAGTTATTGGTATGACGGGGTAGACTTTACTTTTCCGGTCCCAAGAATCTAATTTCACGCGCCAAACTTCGACGTCACACCCGTTGCTAAGTTCCTGTGTTTACGGCGGCCATTTTGATTTCGCTTTTAAAAAGTTGGTGTACTGCCTATTGCCCACGTCCAATAAAATGCAAGTATAGCAGTAAGTTTAACCGTTTATTGCTCCATGTACATAATGATGATGTTGATCATAGCAATGAAGTGGAAATGGTTAGATCTGAAACATTACAATGAATCAAATAAGAACAGAGAATACAATAGTTTACATTTCATGCAAAAGGTAAATAAATGTAACCTGACGAATGACTAGAACAAATGACTAGGACTATTACTCTATCTCATAACCTTTGTATAGGCTTAAACTTGCATAATCAATTGACATGTATTAGATTAACTTGATCAATCTATGTTTTACAGCATGCCATTAAATTTCTGCATAATCTATGTACTTAACACAATCAATGTTTTACAACATGCCCTCAAATTTTCCCGCACTATTTCAATACTATAGATGATTACATTTCACATGAAATAATAATACTAGACTAGGAGAAAATTACTGAAATATTTGAGACATATGTGACTGTGTAATCCAATACAAAAATGCCATATATTGAGACATAAACCTTATAAAATCTTATAAATCATGAAAAGTGCAACTCGCACATGTTATCTAAAAATAGATTCCACACACTACATCATAAATCAAGATGTTTTACAAAATAATGATCAAATGCATACAAAATCATAAACCGTACAGATTTGATAATGAATATTAAGCATTGCAAACAATAAAACTTACTCCATTGTGCGTCCAAGTTGCAGAGAACGAGGTAAACAGGTATGGTAAGAAGCTGCGAGCCAATCAACAATAAGGAAAGGAAAATGTGGAATTGATATAAAAATGAAACCAACACATCAAGTTTTGATAATTCCGGATTGCTAAAAAATGTGACAACACACTCCCCGTCTTATATCTTAAGATATAACAATCTAAACTAAAAACTCCTATATTTACTTAGCATACACTGACTAATCATCTAATAACAAAACAAGCTCATTGATAGGTCTAGTATACAACACATTTTTTCCATCGCGATGTACTCGGATAACAGCCTTGCGGACCAACTGATCGTCACTCTTTATGGCTTCTTCTACTACTCCAATGGGCCACTGGTAACGAACGAGGCTTGCATCCTTGACGAGTACGACGTCACCAGGTTTTACATTCGGTTTCTTGTCGTGCCACTTTCTGCGTTGTTGTAGTTCATTCAAGTAGGTATCCTTCCACTTTCTCCAAAAGAGATCTGAGAGTACTTGAACGTGTTTCCAGTCTGCTCTATAGACATCCTTCAGTGAGAGTTGTTCTGAGAACATAAGGGAATCTTCACCTTGTTTCTGAGTGAGAAGAATGTTTGGGCTCAATATTAAGGGTGTCTCTGGGTCAGATGAAATAGCTGAGATTGGTCTGGAATTTATCACAGCAGACACTTCTGTCATCAGTGTGGACAGAATTTCATGGGTTAAAGTCTTGGCCTTCTGTTGAACTAGTATTCCATCTAAAATTCTCCGAGTAACGCCTATCATTCTTTCCCACACTCCTCCCATGTGGGAGGAGTGGGGTGCATTAAATATCCAGACTGATCTTGAGTTGTTTAGATGAGACTTTAGTTGAGCATCTTCCACATTGATTGAGTCGATACCAATCTGATCCGTCGCACCCACAAAGTTCGTCCCTCGATCCGATCTATAGATTTTGATTGGCCCTCTGACTGCCGTCACTCGCCTCAAAGCATTTATGAAACTAGAGCTGCTCATTTCTTCGATTAGCTCGATGTGCACTGCACGAGTCGTTAAACAGGTGAAAATGACTGCCCAACGCTTACTTTGAGCGACTCCACCCCGTGTTTTCCGAGTTGTGATGTCCCATGGCCCAAAGGTATCCACGCCGACAGCTGTGAAGGGCGGTCCAGGAACCAGACGATCTGTCGGCAAATCTGACATCTTCTGTTCTAGCATCTTTCCCCTGAGTTTCTGACATAAGACACACTTTCCAATTAGAGATGTAATGATTCTCTTTGCTCCTATAATCCAGAAACCATTTGAGCGTATCTTTCCTTCTGTAAATTTTCGGCCCTGGTGGAAGGTTTTTTCATGGAAATGCTTCACGAGAAGCGTTGCTACAACTCCCTTAGGTATGATGATAGGATTCGTAGATGCGAGTCCCAGACTATCTCGAAGGTGATTTAATCGGCCACCAACCCTCACCAGACCATCTTCGTCTAAGTAAGGTGAGAGTGATATGATGTGACTCCCCTTGTTGAGTGACAACCCTAGTCTCAGATTGTTGATCTCCTTGTAGTAGTGTTTTTGTTGTACTGTCTTAATCACAAATTTCTCTGCCTCTTTAAGTGTGGCTGGAACTATTGCTTCCTGACACCAATGCCATCCTTTGCAAGATGAGTCGTTTCCTTTATTGCGACACCGTGCATTGTGTTTCAAGATGGCAATCGCATTAACGAGCCCTTTCCATGTTGAGAATCTTGAGAATCGTTCATCCAGTGGTAAGTATGTTGAGACGGTGGTCTGTAGCACCTGTACTGGACGGATTTCCTTATCTAAATCTGGTTCAATGAGTGGAAACATTTCTTCTAATGTCTCTCTGTTTTTTAAGATGTACTCGGGTCCTTTCAGCCATGTTTGTATGGCCGTCAAAATGTCTTGTGACACACCCCTTGTAGCAACATCTGCAGGATTTAAGTGGGTCGGCACATAATTCCATTGTTCTGGTGAGGTAATGTGACGAATCCTGGCTACCCTATTGCTAACATAGGTGTAAAACCTCCGTGTGTCATTCTTTATGTAACCAAGAACAACCCTGCTATCCACAAAATATCTCATCTCAGTCAGAGGTATCTCAAGCTGTTCTGCAAGGAATTGCCCAATTTCTGTCGCCAAAACTGCCCCGCAGAGCTCTAAGCGCGGTATACTGTTTCCAGCTGAAGGCGCCAATTTGGATTTGCCCATAATGAACCCCAAACGTTGTTGACCCTGGTCATCCATTGTCTTCAGATAAGCAGCCGCAGCTACCGCCTTCTCTGAAGCATCAGAAAAGATGGCTACTTCCCGTACCTTCATCTGACTGTAAGAACTTGGTACATACATTCTGGGAATTTGAAATCCATCTAACAGATTCAGGTCATCCATCCAATTCTGCCAACGTTTCTGATGTGTTTCAGGAAGTTGATCATCCCAGTCAAAGCCTTGTGGACAAGTTTCTCTCAATAACATTCTTCCGTTAACAGTGAAGGGTGCCAAAAATCCTATGGGATCGAAAATGCTGCTAACTGCTGAAAGCAATCCTCTCCTTGTGAATGAACTATTCAGTTTAGGGGCTGTGAAAACAAAATTGTCCGTATTCAAGTCCCAAGATAAACCCAGACTCTGTTGTAAGGGCAATGCATCGTCACTCAAATCTAAGTCCTTGAGATCCTTACCAAGGTCTTCCTTAGAAAATTGAGACATCACGCTCTTGTTGTTCGATGCGATTTTGTGCAGTCGGATGTGGCCTTCATTCTGTAAGACTCTTTTGGTGCGTTCCAGTAAACTCACAGCTGCTTCAGGTAAGGTTGTAGATTTCAGTGCATCATCCACATAGAAATTACAGTTAATAAACTCTCTGACATCAACATCAGCTTCTTGCACTGCTTTTCTCAGTCCATAAGTGGCTATGGCAGGGGACGGCCGATTTCCGAAAACATGCACCGTCATACGATACTCAACCATTGGAGAATTGGGGTCATTGTCTTCAAACCAGAAGAACCGCAGAAAGTCTCTATGCTCAGGTATGACAAAGAATCTGTAGAACATCTGTTCAATGTCCGCTGTAATTGCACATTCATCCTTCCTGAAACGCAGCAGTACGCCTAACAAACTGTTGGTTAAATTTGGTCCCGTTAGCAACACGTTGTTCAGAGAAAGTCCTTTGTACACTACTGAGGAATCAAACACTCCCCTGATCTGGTTGGGTTTCTTGGGATGATATACCCCAAAGATTGGTAAATACCATCGCTCTTTCTCATCGTCCTGTAGAACAGGTGCCCGTTCTGCTGCTTGGCTTCTGAAGACCTTATCCATGAAGGTAATGAAGTGGTTCAGTTTCTCGGGATTCCTTTTGAGATTTGACTCCAGTTGTTGAGCTCTTTGCAATACTTGTGGTCTGTTGTTAGGAAGCCGTGCCCTTTCACTTTTGAATGGTAGAGGTGCCATCCATACTCCGGAGGAGTCCTTTCTGAAAGTTGAGTCCATCAACTCTGTGAACTTGAGGTCCTCGTAAGACATCCCTATCTTCTCGTCATTTTGTGTTTTAACAAAAAGAGTCTCTCCGATGGAAGGTTCAACTGGATGCTCACGCACAACAAGTTTCGAGTCACATGGGTTAAAAATCGTACTCCTACCATTCACTAGTAAATTGGTTTTCAATACACTGATATTGTCTCTGTGGAACTTGCCGATACAAACTTCTCCCACTATCACCCAGCCTAAGCTCAATCTTTGAGCAAATGGTGCTCCATGTGGACCTGTTATTTGATGTTGAACGTGGTGAACTTCCAGCAAATCACGGCCAATGAGTAACTGGACTTTGGCCTTAGGATCCAGAGGATAAAGCTGACAAGCGATTTGTCTCAAATGAGGATGTGCCCTTGCTACTTCTGGAGTGGGAATTTCGGAGATATTGTTTGGAATATCGTTACACTCAATTACGGTTGGTAAGGTATGTCGGCTTATCCCATCCATTGATTTGACCATAATTCCTGTAGCTCGTCTGCCTGTTTTCTGTTCGGTACCTGCACATGTTGACAATGTGTAAGCAGCCTGAAAACCCTCCACAGAGAGCTGATCCAAAAGTTCTGACGACGCTAGGGTCCTGTTACTATGTTCATCCAAAAGAGCGTATGTTGTGATAGTTCTTTCGGGTTCCTTCTCCAAATACACCTTTACGAGCACAGTCTTTGAACATGATCGTCCATTGAACTCCTCTCCACATAGTGAGGTGCATGACGCAACAACTTCTTTTGCCTTCTCCCCGCCATGAGAACTCGTAACTTCTGCACTGTCCTTAAGTGTACGACTGCAAAAGGGTTCAGTAGCGTTCCTCCCTTCCATATGTAATGCAGTTGGATGCTGATGGCTTCTGCACTTGGTGCACTCCTCCGATTGTTTACAGTCTCTCATCAAATGTGTTGTAGATGCACAGCATTTATAACAAATGCCTTTTCTTTTTAGAAAGTCTCTTCTTTTCTTAATATCCCATTGTGAGAATTCTCGGCACTGGTTCAGTGAGTGTTGTTTCATGTGCACTGGACACATTTTGTCTGGACTGTAACTTACATTGGCCTTCACATCTGTCTTTCTAGCAATGACAGGTTTCTGGTTTCCAGTGGAGTATGAAAAGGCATTTGATTTGGATGTGTGAGTTTCAAATGTTTGAAAGAATGCTGGATCATTGCGAATTTTGCTCATTTCCTTCACAAAGTCTAACACAAATGAGAATGGTGGATAAGGAACATCATGTTGTTTCTTGTAGTTGGCTGCTCTCATGGTCCATTTTTCCTGAAGGTTATATGGCAATTTGTTGATAATTGGAGATACGCCAGATGATGTGTTGAAATAAGCGAGTAGCATTGAGTATCGTGGATTTCCCATCAATGCTTCTATCTCGATCATGATATCCACCAACTCGTATAATTTCTTATTATCTTTGTTTCCAAGCCTCGGAAAGGAGTTGAGCTTGTTTTTGATAGAAGCCTCGACCATCTCAGGTGCACCAAATCTTTCGTCTAGGCGGTCCCAAATTTTTTCTACTCCCCATCTAGGGTCAGAACCTATTGAAGTCCTTATAGTTTTGGCATGCCTTGAAGAATCTGGTCCAAGCCAACGAATCAATAGATCCAATTCTTCTGAGGG